TGAGGACGGCCCCGCCGCATGGCCGGCTTAAAAAAGGATGACCGCCATCGCTGACGCGTGTGCACGTGGTCATAAATCAAGCTGACCGCGTGGGCAGCGGGTAGTTGGGCGGCCGCCAGGTGGGGACGCGGCGGACAGCGAGAAGGCGCTCGTGGCGTCCGTTCGGCGTCCCCGCCGACGCATTTGGTACGCAAATTTGAGCCACAAATGCGTTGGCACGGACGCGAAGTGGACGTGATTTGGGTTTGGGTCGGCGCGTTGGGCCGTCATTTTTATCCGCGTCGATCCAAACGGACGCAGACGGACGAAATGGGTCAACCCTTTGGAGTTGCTCTAACGGCGCGGCGAATTGAGCTTAGCTCAGATGGTTAGTTTTTCTGTGACGAAATCAGCTCACATGGTTCAAATACTAGACCTGATATTGATGCTTGTATTTTTTTGTCATCTTTTTAGAGATGATCTTTCAATGAGAGAAAATGTTTCCGTCGACTGTGAAGATGTATGTGATAACTTTATCAATTCTAAAATGATATGCCAACTCAATTTTTTATAAAGATACTCATAGGAATAGGATGTGCGCTCGTGTGTGTATTTGCACGAATTTTAATTCCTGAAACATACTCCCTCCGTTTCTTTTTACTCAGAATATAAGATTGGGTCAAAGTCAAACTACATAAAGTTTGATCAAATTTATATTAAAAAATATGAAATCTACAATACTAAAACTATATAGTATAAAAATACGTTTCATGGTGCATCTGATAATATTAATTTTATATTGTAAATGTTTATATTTTTTCATATAAAGTTAATCAAATTTTATAAAGCTTGACTTTGACCTAACCTTATATACGGATTAAAAGAAACGGAGAGAGTATATTGTCAACCGGACATGTCAATTAATTTAGTCGTGCGTGTGGTTACACGAACTATTGAACGGAGCTGGTTGACATGTGTTGAGTAGGCCGGTTCCCGACAGTGCACCGGAACACGTTGTTGAGTCGAGCTACTGCATGGCAGAAGGAGATGACGCACATTATCGAGTAGTATACGGGGCAAGATTACTGTAACGCAGATTATTGCAGGGCCAGCGTGGACCAGGAGGGGAATATGCCGGGGGATCTCGGTCGGATCCCTTCCGGTGGCGATGGCGACGCGGGGCTGCGCCGGGGTCAAAGGGGTGGGAGGGCCAGCTGACGCCTTTGAATCGTCCGCCGTGACCGCCTATGG